TGGTTAATAACTTAATAGTAACTTTGTTAGACTAGCTAGCTATTAGGAAATGATCCAACACTGCATAATGCATCAAACTGCGTCTTGTTAGTGAAGAAATAGAAATGTGTAAACAGAAAAAGAAGTAGGAAACGATTGAGGATTCGAGGTTTCGAGTCTAGAACCTCCTTCAACTAGAGTTCGATACCATGTTAGACAATCATTAAATCCTTTAAAAATAAAAATAAAAAAGAAAAAACTTGAAAACTTGAGTTTTAAGGAAATGAACAACCCTGTATATCAAGTAAAACACCGCAGTAAAAAAGGAGTGGAAGGGCAATGCTGTTATTTCCTGAGTTCATGCAAGTTAATTTTTTTCAACAATAACCTTATCTTGCTGAAATTTGAAATTGACTAGACGAAGACAAGGTGTAATTAGATCTTGGGATTGATGAAGGGAAATAGTACCCTTCCTTGAATGATCATTTATAGTGTACTTCAGAGGCATAGTTGATTTTGAACAAGAACTACCTACTTCTTCAAGTTGCTTCTGCTAGCTAGCTGTTTTTTTCCTTCTTTTCTCTATTTCCATAAACTTCTTTCCATTCCTTTAATGTTTGCAACTCTCACAAATGTTAGACAACCCACTAGCTCCAAAAATATGGGATGAGCCAACAATAAATATCAAGCTTACGTTCTTTCTCACGTGCAGATCCATCTTGCACGTGGAGCGGTAGACCAACAGAGAGAGACAAACATATAGGTGTAGCCACCCTGCTACACCCCAAAAACCAGCACTTAAAACTGGGAAATGGGGATTAAACAGAAGAAGGTTATAATACAAAATATTGTTAGACAACCCCTAGCACTTTATTAAGAAGGCTCCAAGTAATAAATCACATTTATATAATCATGCAACTTGTGGATGAAATTTGAAAACCAATTCTTGTGTCTGACTTGATTAGGTGAGATTTTGGTCCAGCAATGCACATAACCAAGACCTTCAATTCCATGTATCTTTTTGGAAAAGGCTGGTTGAAATTAAATTTGACAGTTCTTCCTTGGGAGGAGAGAGAGAGAGAGCTGAGGCCCTCCTTAAGAACTAGAAAATTAAAGAGTCCCCCATCACCAAGGCACGTCAAAACCATGGTTGGTATGAATTAATTATTAGGAGCTGATTTGTCTCTTAATTAAACTTGCTTTTGCCTGTGCTAAATCATGGTTGGTATCAATTTTGGATATTAATTTGAAGAACATTTCTATGTTTTGATTACTTGGATGATCGTACACCAGAAGCTCACGAGTATATGGATTCAAACTATAACATTTTTTTTGGTACCAAGAAACGTGAAATTCATCAATTTCCTCATAACCTGCACCATATATATGCATGGTCCACTCATAAATTGATGGTCCAATAAATGTGGCTTTGTGTCGTATATTTGTATGAACCAAATGAGTTGATGGAATGGGAAAGTGGTAGGATTGTTTGTTTTTTGTTTTTTAAAAAAATATTTATTATCAAACCAAAGAGGTGGTAGTTTGGAAAAGCATGTAAAAATGAATCTGAGGGTGAATTCAAGTTATGATACAGCTTAGAGATGAGATTTGTTGCATGGGTGAAACTCACTCGTATTGACGCAGCACAAGCAACAAAGGTTTCAAACGAAAACCTTGAGTAACAAGAAAACTGGATTCCACCAGAAAATTAAGAGAAACTCTCTTTGATTAATTGTATTAAAATCTGAAGTCTACAAAAACGTTAGACAAACCTGCCTAAATACACAACTCTCAACCCTTGTAACTGCTAGGGGAGTTATTACATTAAAACTGAAAAACTTGTCTCTTAATTAAACTTGCTTTTGCCTGTGCTAAATCATGGTTGGTATCAATTTTGGATATTAATTTGAAGAACATTTCTATGTTTTGATTACTTGGATGATCGTACACCAGAAGCTCACGAGTATATGGATTCAAACTATAACATTTTTTTTGGTACCAAGAAACGTGAAATTCATCAATTTCCTCATAACCTGCACCATATATATGCATGGTCCACTCATAAATTGATGGTCCAATAAATGTGGCTTTGTGTCGTATATTTGTATGAACCAAATGAGTTGATGGAATGGGAAAGTGGTAGGATTGTTTGTTTTTTGTTTTTTAAAAAAATATTTATTATCAAACCAAAGAGGTGGTAGTTTGGAAAAGCATGTAAAAATGAATCTGAGGGTGAATTCAAGTTATGATACAGCTTAGAGATGAGATTTGTTGCATGGGTGAAACTCACTCGTATATAGGCTCGTTTTGGCGGGCTTGAATATATGATTTGATATGATTATAATCCTAGTCAAATGTTTCGTAGTCTAAAAACAATCGATTATTATGTCTAATCCAAATGGTTGAGATTACGTTGAATTGGCTTATGTCTAATCATGTTAGGTCATGTAATAACATATGCCAGTTAACCCAACCCCATAATTATGTGTAGCACAAAACACATATATCTAATTAATGAAATTTAATGAGGTCTAATTTTAACTCATTATAACATAATCTATATGAAGAAAAAAGAGGTTCCAATACATTAATACACATATTTTTCTCCGAATTCTCTTGCTGCTGGTACAGAAAGTGTATCTAGTCTTGTGATTTCATTACTCCTCTCTTTTCTTCTTTCTTTCCTCTTTTTTCTTCTTCTAGGGTTTTCATCATTAATGCTTAAACATATGCAGTTGGGCTGGGTAGGTTAAAATTATGGACTTTTGAATCTACAGCTGGATGGTTATCTTTTTCATGTGGGAATGCCTCCAGGATGTCATGTCCATTACACATGTTCTGAGCCAAGGCATGGTAATAAGGGACCCAGCCACGTGTCAGCATGAATTAGGCCTAAAGGTGAAATTGCATGACTTTTCTTCTCATTTTGAGACCAATTTGGTAAACTAATTAAAAATATATATATTTGTCACAAAAAATTTCCCAGGATTATTGCATCGAGCTTTTATGATAAATATATACAAACAATGACGTAAGAGTGTTGACCTTAGCTAGTATAGGTTAGTATAGTATGATGGTACGAATGAGATTTAGGGTGTGGTAGGAATTCAGTCTAGGGCTTGCCACTCTTCCGAGTCTTCTCTTACTTCTTACACGGTACAATAATTATGAAGTTTGAGATTGAGATTTCAAACCTTATCCCAATTTTTTGGTGTGACTGGTGTGTATCTATTTATTAATACTATAATCTAGATTCATAATGTAAAATAATAACACCACATGATAATATGACCATAACCTAACAAATTTCTCCACGACACTTGAGCTAACAAATTATTTCTGACAATGAGTGTTAGAAGGTACCCCCTTAAATTTTAAAGAGTCCGTCAATGTTGTTGCAGAAATAGAATCCTCTAAAATTTTGAAATACCTAGTTTAACTACATAGAAGAACTCATTGATTACTTGTACACCTACTTGTGATGAATCTAAGGATGGTGCATTCGACTATTAGATAGTGTTTTGTCACAATGAATCAAGGTCGTTGTTTTGTCACAATGAATCATAGCTTATGGCATATATAATGCATATTTGTTGTGCAGGACATTGTCTTTTTCTCTAAATATTGTTCTTAGGCTTGTCATTTCACCTTTAGTTTTAATGAGGTTCTTAAACTTATCCTTTAAGCAAAGAACACCTCAAACATTTTCTCATTAAAGTCTTACCTATTTATCAATTTGCCAAATGATCTTAAGAAGAAGATTGAAGCAACAAACAACTAAAGAAGATACCATATTTACCCAACACAACCATGTTGTGTGACAGCTTCCATTTCTTCCCCATTCACTTCCTGTACTAGTTTTCCCCAAGAACTACGTTTCAATTTCTATGGAAATTCACTATTATAAAATCAGAATTATGTTAAGTATAATCACCTATCAGCGCGTAGTTGACTTTCAATCGTCGATACATATAGATCTCGTAATGTATCGATAGCTGACAATTATCCATATATATATAAAATTATCTCCACGGTTCCTCCTAATACAAATTCATAATTTAATGCGCCATAACAGTCAAGTTGTTGTATCAGTATGCAAATTAATTCTTAAGCATTTTAAGCATTTTATTCCTTATTAGAAGAAAAACAAACAGATTTCCAAACTAAAGAAAAATAAAAATAAAAGAAACCCAATTCCAAAGAGAGCCTAAAATAATCAAGATTAATGGACCGTTGGCATTAACTCTTGTTCATCTGTCAATTAGAGCTGCCCAGTATGGCTTTGTGTTGGATTGTCAGTCCAATTGACATTGCAATGCAATTATTCAATCACAATAATAACCCTGGTCCCACCCCGTTCACCCCCAGCAAAATGTGCTCATTACCCACTTAAAAAATAATAATAAAAATAACCCATGGGCTGGACTTTGGAGAGATGAGTTGAGGTGACAAATAATTGAGCGCAATTTTGTTCATTAAATTTCTAACTACAGGATCTCTTTTTTTTTTGTTTTTTGAATTGTTTTTAAAGCTAACTTTCAGTTACCCAACAAATTTAGTTCTTTTACAGGTACCCCAAGTAATATTTCTAGCATTATTTAATTTGTATTTGCAGCTATTCAATCATGTATGTATGATTTTTTAGTACTTCTTTCCATATTAATCTTTGACAGAAACAGAGTTTTTTTTTTTTTTTTTAATTTAATTTTTTAATTTTTTAACAGAGCTTATTTACAGTTTAGAGATGGAGCTGTCTTTGTGGTAATAATGGAAGAACATGGTGAGATAACAGAGAAGAGTTAATCTAACGGCCATGGTTGCTTCCTAACTCAACTGGTGGCATTCATTTCACCATTAATGACTTTTCCAGTTGTTGTTCAAGTAATCTTAAATACAGTTGAGTTTGTTGTGTTTCTTTTTCGTTTTTTCTTATTCTCATCTCATGGGAATTTTTTTAAATATTTGTTTATTTTTCATGCATCAATTTGGAGTACTTTTTTAAGTATATATAAGTGTACACACTCAAAACTAGGCCAACCAGTGGCAGCCACATAGAGGTTGAAGAGGGCAGCAACTTCTTCTGTGAGAGTGCTTTTCTGAGGCCTTTGTCTGCTGCTTTCAAATGGCTTTGGTTTGTGCAGTGAAGCTCCTTCTCTTTTTATGGCTCTTCAACTTTCTCCCTTCCTCTCAAGGTTCTTTTGCTTCCGCTCACTTCTTCTACCTTCTCTCTCTCTCTCTCTCTCTCTCTCTCTCTCT